AAAATAAACGGAATACCAACGTATATTTTACGTTAAAGGTAAATATCGAAATGTTTGTTTCGAAACTAGGTTAGATGTTTCTGTTATTTCACCAAAGAAAATATTATATTTTTGCAATGGAATTCGTTGGAGTTTTACGTAAGATAGTTCAGTTACTAAATAGTCAAAAATTTATAACGGATATTAAGAAAATTCATAGTCCTTATCAGAAAAAGTAATCTTGTATGAGTATATACTGTTGATTTTAAATTCGAGTTTATGAATTGTTAACAGTTTTCACTGATTAAACCTCGGTGCTATTAATGTCGCGATCACCGTGATTTTATTTTATAGGAAATAGTGGATTAGAAAAATCTGTGCACGGACGATTGCCATGTCCACTTTTGGAATGCGAAAACAAGCGGATTGCAATAAAATTTTGCTAGGTGTAACCACGCATGAGAGCAACATTTTAAAACATATGAGTATAACTATACATATACACATACATACCCATACATGTGTGTGTATATATATATAATACTCGAGTAAATTCGTAATAATAAAATTCATGGAAATATAATCTCACGGTTTGGATCGTTCGTTACGTCGCTACGCTCGATGCGGAACGAGAATTTCGATGCAACCGAGCCGTTGTAAAATTTTATTGCGCGTATGATCGTATGTGATAGAGTAAGAGAGAAAGAGAGAGAGAGAGAGAGAGAGAGAAAGAGAGAAAGAAAAATAGAGGGGAAAATAGGAGTGAGGGTTCAAAACCGACGTATATACGCGCCTTCGTTGCGACGTCCCCAACGGCCACGTGTTTCCCAATTTCCATTAACCGTAACACTCTCCAGTAACGTCGCTTGTCCGAGCCTTTCCGGATCGTGCCGACGGAGACACTGTTTCCGCTTTCACCCCTTCTCACGATCACCCTTCACATTGACAATACACTCACGACATTCCATTATATATGTATACTCGACGAACTTCTAATGAGAGTAAAGAGTGAGAGAAAGAGAGAGAGAGAGAGAGAGAGAGAGAAAGAGAGAGAGAAAGAGAGAACAATGAGAAAGAGAGAGAATCGATCGATCGATCGATCGGATCGCTCTCGTTATACGTACATCGATCGATCTCTCGTAGACATCGGCCATGTGCCAGAACGTCGACGAGTTTTTATCGAAGCGTGATAAAAGGGACACCCCCACCACTTCATCTCATTTTCTTCTTTTTTCTTCCGTTAACCATCGACTTCAACTTATATACATGCATACTTGACGAGTACATATATACGAGCTCAACGAGAGACATAAAACTGACGTGGTAAGGAGCGAAAGAGATAGAGAAAAAGAAAGAAAGAGAAAGATAGATAGTTCGATCGATCTCGGACTGTGAGCCGACTGGCCAATGCTCACTCTCTCTCTCTCTCTCTCTCTCTCTCTCTCTCTTTCTCTCTTTTTCTCTTTTCTCTTTTTTCAATGTCCACGATAAATCTCGAAAAATCTCGCTTCGAGCCCTTTTCACCTCTTGACCGTGGACCGTGGAAGAGTAATATCGAAGAATCGTACGAACGACAAATTACCTGTGCCTTCTTTTCCTTCTTATCACGCTTCATTCGTTCTTGATTCTCTATATACACTCGAAAGTGAAAAAAAATTGTGACTCACGTAATTCTTTTTCTTCCTTCTTTTTTTTTCTGTTCGAAAGACATTGTGACTTTATCCTTAAAAAGAAAGCTTTTTGTTTTTAAGCTTCTTCTTTTTTCTTTTTCTTCCTCTACTTTTTTCTACTTTACTCTTCCTCAGTTTTTTCTAAAGATAATACGCGGTATTCTAGATAATGAGACTCTTCTTTCTCTCTTTCTCTCTCTCTCTCTTTTTCTCTCTCTCGCTCTCTCTCTCTCTCTTTTAGTTTTGTCAGTTCCATTATTTCAAATTGCTATCTCAACGAATAAATCGTCTTTTCTCTCTGCGTACCAACGATATATGTACATTTATACGTAATAAATCGCTTGAGAGATATTCTAATTAGCGAGAAATAACCTTTCTCCGAAAAGGTAAAGGGAAACATAAACCAACGATAAACTACGATCGATGAGACTCGAAACGACGGTGAAGCAGCTTGTTTACGTGCGATATGCCATCGAGGCGTGTAACAGGTACGCGTAATATTAATGAGACGGATGGACATTTTGAGTGCGACGAGAACCGTGGCACGTGCTCAAAGTGGATGACAGCGAATGCCATTAGTGCTTGCGGATATAACGATAAACGTTGACTAAAATCACTCGACTAACGTGACGCATGTTACTACTTTATCTCTATCTCTATCACTCTCTTTCTCTCTCTCTCTCTCTCTCTCTCTCTCTCTTTCTATTTATCTATTTATCTATCTATCTCACTCGAAAGAGAAGTATAGCGTCTGTGGAAGAGCACGTAAACGTTGCCGTTGCAAATCTACTTTAATGTTCGACTAGTCACCCTCGAGCGATCCTCAACCGACGTATTTTATTCCTTCGTACGACATCTCTCAGGTTTTCAGTCGTAACGCGTCGCTTTAACTTTCACCGTTCAAGTGCAACCATATAGGTTAGCTATATCTTGGAAGAAAAAGAGATAGAGGAAGAAAGAAATGTATGTACATAGATATGTGTGTGCACGCGCGTGTATATATATATATATATATATATATATATATATATATTAATCTTCCGTCGTATCAGTAAGAATCAAAACTCAAAATGAACAGAATGAATTTGAAACGATGAAAAACGCTTTCGGCGGAGAAAATCGGACGGGATCGGTCTTCCCTTTTTTTTTGCCATTGTTCGCGAAGATCGACCTCTCGATGCACTCCCAGAAACTACGTAACTTTCACCGTTCGAACACGCCAAGGTGTGGAAGATCATGACCTTTTGACCCTGTCACCTTGTTATTCCACCGGTGCTATGAATATAGTCAATGAGAATAGTATCTACGTTGAAACTATTTCAATTTAGATTATTATCTTTTCGATATTTTTCTCTTGTTAAAGTTTCTTACGAACGCCAAGCTTATCATTTATATCCGAGTATAATGATCAACTTATATGGTTATTTGGGAATATACCAACATTAATTGTAATACTGCGAAATGACTAGAACAGTTAATCTTGTCTAACGTCAATAGATTGTCTCATTTAATTGTAAGTTTTATCTATTTTAATGAGAAACATATAAATCTTATATCCGGATTGTTTTCATTCTATCATCTATAATCGTCATGAGCGAACGTTCGAAGACGATTGCAACAACTTTCACCATTCAAGTGCACAAGGATCGATAGGTCGTGAGATCTAGAAGCAAAGTCGTTTACCTCTTAGTCGTAATCAACTCAGACACCTATTGCGAACATAAGAAGCGGTCGTTTCTTAGTTTTGCGTATGGAATACACATCTTTCAATTCAATGCTTGTAGAGACGGTGAAAGGCCAAAGAGGCCTTCCCTACCTTCGCGAATATCTCGATTGCTTTTTATCCGTGGAGGATCGAGATTAAAGCCGTGCACACACGAGACAATAGTTTCACGAGTGTATTACGCAGTTTTACTTATCTTGTGCATTAACTAAATGAAAAATAAAAAAACAACAGAAGAAAGAAAGAAAGAAAAGAGAGAGAGAGAGAGAAAGAGAGAGAGAGAGAGAGAGATTTTTGGCGAACGATTCTTTCAACTTCTTTCCCAAGTTTTATCGAGCTAGGCGTCTAAAGATTGTACGAAGTACGCACGACGTTTGTTAATAAAGCGATTGTTGCGTTAATGTACGACGAAAGAAAAAGAAAGGAAATAGAGAAATCATCTTCGGAATAGTAATTGATATTTATTGTATTCTTACGATCATCAACGCAATCGATTTGATCATACATTTAAATATAAAATACATTTCAGGTAGATGTGTTCGAGATATCTCTCGTTGTGCAACTTTCTGCGCTCGGAGATACGAGAGGAACCGAGGGTTCCTATTAATTGAGGAAAAACTCGTTCGGAGAAATGGGTCGCAGGCCGTACGAAAATTTCGATACCCCTTTTACCGCGTCCCACTAAATATGAAAGAGCCGAATAATAGTGATGCTGGTGACGGTGGTGCTGGTGGGTGATGGTGGTGGTAGTAGTAGTAAGGGATGGGAGATCCATGGTGTAGGATTTTTTTCGTGTCGCGTAACTTTATTGTACAATCGATTGCGTAAGGGTCCTCTCTCGTAAAAAGCGACCTGGACGCTTAACGATCAAACGTGGCCACAAATACGCACTTTTACATACGACGATCAACGGTGAACACCATCCGCATGGATTTTAATCGTTAGTTTATTGATATAAAAAGACAAATAAAAATAAATAAATAAATGAATCGACAAAACGAAGAAGAAAAGAAAGAGAAAGATAATCGCGTGCATTTCGTTCCTTCTTTTTCTCTCTTTCTTTTCTTTTTCTTCTTTTTGTTTTTTTCTTTCTTTTTTTTCTCTCTCTCTCTCTCTCTCTAGATTCGGCAAACAAGCAACAAAGTTTCCTTCGGAGGGAACATTAAAAGATTATCATCGTGATGAATCATCCCGTTTGTTGTTACCCAGCAATGAGGTCGCACAATTTCCACATCGTCGTCGTCATCTTCATCGTATTCGTTCTCGTCCTCATCCTCGATTTTGACAGAGAACGAGTGTATATAATTTTCATCTAATGGTTGGGAAAAATCGCGACCCTTTAAACAAAGGAAAATTTTGGATGGATTGGCCCTAGAGGAACGAACAATTGGACGATGTTATGGTAGGAGCAATCAAAGGCGATAGAGGAAGAAGAGAAGGAAGAAGGGAAAGAAAAAGAAAGAGGATCGCGACTAGGAAGATTTTTTATGAGATGCGATACATCGATGACGACGATGATGATGATGATGATGATGATGATGATCATGATGATGATAATAGCGATGGCATAATAGTAGTGATATTGGTAATGTTGTAGTGGTGATGGTAGTGATGGTGGTGGTGGTGGTGGTGGTGGTGGTGGTGGTGGTGGTGATGGTGATGGCGAGATAGTGGTGGTAGTACGAAAGTTAAACTTTGTGAAGTAGAAGGAAGAAGACAAAATCATGGAGAGACAAGAAGGGCGGGGATCAAGCTGAAGAAAGGCGAGAGAGCTATAAAAGAGGCACCGCTCTCGACGATGGGCATCAAACACCTCGACATGAAGGTACGTACAAGAGACGGGTTCGTGCGTGAGCTCGATTTTTCGTTTCTCTTTCTCTCTCTCTCTCTCTTTCTCTTTCTCTCTCTCTCTCTCTCTCTTTCTCTTTCTCTCTCTCTCTCTCTCACTCTCTCACACACATACACTCTCTATCTTTTTCTTTCTTTCTCTCGTTCTTTATCTTTTTCTTTTACTTACTCTTGCTCTTATTCGGCGATCATTACTCATTCTCTTTCTATCTAAATTCCCTCTATTTCTCTCTTCTATTTTCATTCTATCCCTCATCGGTTCTTCTCGAGACGGCAAGGATGATGATGAAGAGAGAGAAAGTGGGAAAGAAAAAGAGAGTGTGTGTGTATGTGTGTGTATTTAGTGTGGGAAAGACATACTCACGCATTTTTTTTGATTCTCCTTACAGGTGTTCGTAATTACGCTCCTATTGGCGTGCATCGCCACCGCCTACGGTGAGTACGATATTCAATGGATTATTTTTTTTCATTCATTCATTTTGCTCTTTATTTTCTTTACTTTTTTTTTTTTTTCATTTTTCTCTTTTCTTTCATTTTATTTTTTGCGCTCCCTATGATGATGGTAGCACACTGATGAGAGATCTCGGATCAAAATATTGCAATTTGTGTTAAAAGGATGATGTTTGAACGATCAAATTGAACAATTGAAATTAACGTACAGTGACCTGTGAACTCTTTGATTCGTATCGAAGAATTCGTAAATCAGTAAAAAGTTAATTAATTCATTTTTATTCGAAATATATAGGTTAACGTGAGAGAAATAATCAACGATTAACGGAATCGAATTTATTATCCAATGAATTGTTAACTTGATCGTCCGTCTCGATCGAATGAGCATAAGCACGCTTAATAGTAAGCGATCGTACAGGATTAAACAGACTCGTTCGCCGCTAATCCTACGGAATGAATGCGAATCGTTGTACCTGTCGGCGAGTAATGCGAACGTGTAATGCGTAACTCGTAGTAACGAAGCGAATTATGATACGATATGAAGCTAATTAACGAAAATGACAAGACGATCGAAACTCAAGCGATTACTCTCTCTCTCTCTCTCTCTCTTTCCTCTTTATTTTCTCGTTTCATTTTTATTTTCAATATTTCTATTTTTTTTCCATATCCGTTACCTTATATTTTTATAATGTATTTCTTTCAAAAACTGTTTACGTTTTCTCTTCGCGCGTTTATAGAAGAAGAAGAAAAAAAAAAGAAAAAGGAAAGAAACCCACATTACTTTCGCGTTCAAAATTCTATGACATTTTAAAATGTATTTCGAAAGAAATAAATTTCTTTCGTGAAAGACGCATCGGAAACTCGTTGACTCGTCCAACGGCACCGGTTTGCACTATACGAGGAGAATGAAAGTCGGCGTTGTATCGTAATCGTTTCTTATTTTTTCCTCTCTCCGTCAACAGGCGGTTACATAAGCAGCGGAGGTTGGTCCGGCGGCGGTGGCGGCTGGTCTGGTGGCGGTGGAGGCTGGTCTGGAGGCGGTGGAGGCTGGTCCGGCGGTGGCGGAGGAAGTGGTTGGAAATATGGAGGAGGTGGCGGCGGTGGCGGCGGCGGCGGTGGTGGAGGTGGAAAAATCATCAAAGTGATCACCATTAGCGGTGGTGGCGGTGGATGGCCAAGCGGTGGTGGTGGTGGAGGAGGATGGAAATACGGAGGAGGTGGTGGCGGTGGAGGCGGCGGATGGAAATTAGGAGGAGGTGGTGGTGGATGGTCCGGAGGTGGTGGCGGATGGTCCGGAGGTGGCGGTGGAGGTAATCATTAAGAAATATTCATTTCTTATGAATTTCCATAGTGACTTTCACCGATAAGTCTATACGTAGAGGATTTATTAATAATTCATAGATTTTTTTTTTCTGGTCTTTCTTTCTTTCTTTTTTATTCTTTAAATTTATTTTTTATGTTTGACCTTTTTTCAACACTTCAAGAATTATATAACAAAATCTTGCACATTCAAATAATTTCCTGATATATTAGCGGTTAGATATATTAAGACGAGAAAAAAAATGAGATGAGTCAATTAATAAATATATTCCATTTACAGGCTGGTGGTAAAAGTATACGCGGTATCTACTAAACGATTCGAAATCATCGGTTTTCCCAAGATCATAAGTGCACTTAATCGACCGAATGGATTTCAACACGTCGTCGTTGCTGAAGAAGCTTTCCCAATCTCCCCCTTTCGAGCTTTTTGAAAGAAACATCGTTCAATATTACGAAACGTGATTAAACTCGATCTACGAGAACGTGGATTAAACGAGTAACGAAACGACTTAAGAAAAACGAAAAAATGCAAGAAATATTTGCAAATTTCTGTTACATCTATAGACGTTTCAAAAAAAAAAAAAAAAAAAAAGAAAAAAGAAAGGAAACAGAAGAACAATCGAAGAAACATTTCGAAAGAAATAATACGACGGATAGTTTGAAAGGACACCAGCAGAGTGTTCAAAGATTGAACTTGTTTTCTTTGTTACAAAAAAAGAGAGAGAGAGAGAAAGAAGAGAGAAAAAAAATCAATGGACAACGAAGATCGTCACGTTCTTCGACGATGAGAAAAGAACGATACCTTCGATGGCATACCATTATCGATTCTCACTCTTCTTCGAGATAAAAATCCTAAAGATCTTTAAGAATAGGATCAGCCTCTAACGTTGTTACCCGGACTGATAAGAACGAGAAAGGAGGGAGAAAAGGACGGTCTCTTCGTGATAACTACACTTACGATGATAAAACTTACACACCGCCTATACCTACAATACTTATCTCTACACCCACTCTTACCTATGTACTCTTAACCGCGATAAAACGGGTAAAATTTGTGATAAATGAGAACAAAGAAAATTCTATTGTGATTCAACAAATGTGTCGAGAATTTAGTGAACTCGTTCGCGGCACTTAGATATACATAAATACATACATATATACATACATACATACATACATACATACATACATACATACATATATATATATATATATATTTTTGATAATTGAAAAATATTTCCGAAAAGTACAGAAAAAAAGGACCCTGCTAGTGACAGTATAAATAAACGATTCACGTCGGCAAAATGCGCCGTTTAATTTTATCCCATTATATGATCCTTGTTGCCCTAGGCAACGAAACTTCAGAGAAAAAGGAGTGTCCGTAAATTTTTATTTCTATCAAAAGCTGTCGTGGGAAAATTAAAAGCGCGTAAATTGGTTTAACGATTTACTTTCGATTTATGTTCTCGTGGTCATCTTGCATGGAGGAGGAAAATTAAAATCGTAAACGGTCGCGACCGCGCTCTCTCTCTTTCTCTCTCTCTCTCTCTCTCTCTCTCTCTCTCTCTCTCTCTCTCTCTCTCTCTTTCTCTCTCTCATGTGTACGAGTAAAAGCGTGGTCGAAGCGATATTGCTGAACCAACGGATTTACTATCACCGACGTTCGGCAATAACATTGGGCGTTACGATATTGCAACAACATAAATACCGTAGATAGGGCACGTTTTAAATTATCGGATCGCAACTCTTACCAGATGCATTCTCGTCGGACGACAAATTTTCCTGCTCGTTGTTTTCCTCGTGCTTGATTCCCTCAATATGTATTTGTATATAGGGTGGAGCATTTAAACAGAAACTTCTGAGTATCCTGATGTATAAATGGGATCTATAAATATACTTCTTAGTGAATAATGTTCCGAGAGAGAGAAAGAGAGAGAGAGAGAGAGAGAGTGTGTGTGTGAAAGAGAGAGAAAGAGAAAGAGATATTAATTATAGTGATAAAAATAATCACGTTATAAATACTTTAAAGATATATATATATTTAGTTCATTGATAAATATTTATATATATGGATATTTTTATTTTCATTTTATTACTCATAAAACTTTACTGATATCGATTTCTTTTTTTACATTCTTTTTATTTGTCACATGTAATGACGAAAAACAGGAACGTCTCCCTAGGAATAACGAACAAACGCTCGTTAATTACGTTCTTTACGAAATCTGTTGACATTGCATAATATCTCTTTAACGTGAAACGAGTACTTATAACGTTTCCGTTGACGACGACAACGACGACAACGATAACGACGAAAACGGACGACACAAAATGAAATGCTTCTTAGTAATAACAAATAACAGACCAATATTGTTTAAGGACGTGACATGCGATTTGTTGTGATTAATCTTCCATCGATTAAGATAATCTATTGCGAACGATAAAACACGGATTATTACGAGAAAGCAACGACGCCATAGGAAAATAGTACATTCTAGATACGAAGCTCATGAAAAATCGCACTGTGTTTCTTTCAACGTTACATATTGCAGGCCATTAGAGACGAGCCATTAAAAATATCTTTTCTCAAATGAAAATCGACGTTAAAAGTGTATGGTACTTAACAAACAGCGTAATTCAGAAACTACAGGCTAACTCTGGCATTTATTTCAATTAATATCAGATGACGTTGAAACATTAAATAATGGTTGCGGGCGTATAGATTTTAATAAAATTCTATAGGGGAAAAGTAGTATAGGGAAACCGTTGAAAGCATGAATATTCTTTCTTTTTTCTTCTTTTTTTTTTCCCCTGAGCAACTAATTTGCAACATTTTATATAATTTGAATATGCATTCATAGCCAGATGCATCGTTATTTTATAAATGTTCAACTTCTGTAATGTCAATTCATTCCTGAGATCGTTCATTGAAATGAATTATAGTAGAAATTATTATACTGCGTGTCTATAATATGTTCAAGAAGGAGAAATCCTGCAAATTAAATTTCTCTGGTAAAAGAAAAGGATCGATAATTTGGTTGAAAATATTTACTTTGTAAGATCAACGTTAGATCCTATCATTTTTCTTTTTTCTTTTCTTTTTTTTTTTTCTTTTCTTTTTCTGTTTCTTTTAAGTAATCCGTATCACAAATAAATATATTTTTCAGTACACCAATCTCCTTTTCATTAATTCATAAAAGAAGACATTGCAATTTGTTAATTAATTTGCTCGATTGAATTACGATCCAATTAAGGAATATGCTCGCATTTCTACGTAATTAAAATCTATTGCGATATCAACAAATATTTTGATAGAAAGAAATATTTGATCTCTCTGCATTTTTCGTCCTCGTTTCTCTTTAATAGAAAGTTATTAGCCTGATAATAGCTATTCTTTCTATTCATTTCGTTGAGATGAGATCATTGCAATAACAGTCTATAACGAAATAACGTTTACACAAGTATCTATATATATGTATAGAATATATATATATATATATATATATATATATATATATATGCCTTCTTCGATAACGTGAGAATATTTTCGCCATCGTAAACACTGCTCTTCGACTTATATAAACTCAAAATAATATACGAGCAAACTCATCCGACTTTCTTATTACCCATGAATAAAAACTTTCTTTTTAAACGACCCTGAATATCGCGAATGAGTTAACATTTTACCGGCTCCTTCAACTTACAACTCGTAATGGTTTAAGTAATAGCTTCGTAATTATACGTATCACAGCTATTTTAAATGATCACATCGAGGTTTGTCATAAAATTTATCGGATAGTAGTTGCAACACTCTGAATGATATTATCATAATACATTTCTTTTTTTTTTCTCTCTCTTTTTTTTCGATTATCTCTTCTGTTCGTTGTACATTCCGCGAGTGTATTACGATGTTATTTTACAACTGTATATCATAAAAAAAAAAAAAAAAGAAAAAAAAAACAAATCCCCGGTATCTCGTAGCGCATCTGTTCATTTCCATTCGGCAATGTATTTCCTTTTCATTATTTTGTTGGAAACTTTTACTACTATTACTACTCCTGCTACTACTACTACTATTACTACTCCTGCTACTACTACTACTATTACTACTCCTGCTACTACTACTACTATTACTACCAGTACTACTACTACTACTATTACTACTCCTGCTACTACTACTACTATTACTACCAGTACTACTACTACTACTATTACTACCAGTACTACTACTACTACTATTACTACCAGTACTACTACTACTACTATTACTACCAATACTACTACTACTACTATTACTACCAGTACTACTACTACTATTAACTTTATGAATCAAGAGAAGTTACGAACGAGTCACAGTGAATTTAGAATCATTAACGTTCTAAAGCCGGAGACTATAACAGCGCGAAAAAAATATAAGGACTATCCGCCGGCATGAATCACTTTTGCGCTTACGCTATGTTTGCTACGCTTTTTTAATGCAGCCAATTTGTAAAACCAATCCCGAACTCTCAACGAAGCTTCGAAAAGCGCCCGACGCTAATTGGGTCCTTCAGAAAGCTCTGCTTTGAATAATTACGAAACGTCCATCTTCGGCTTGGATTGCGAATTACTCGCGAGAATGGAGCCTCTGATATTTTCTCTCTCTCTCTCTCACACACACACACACACACACACACACACATAGAGTTCGTTTATTCCCCTTCTTCTTTTTTATTTTCATTTCCCTCGATCTTCTATCGAGATTACGTTCTTTTCATGAAATATTGTGCGAGTCGAATATTGCCTCCAATTAATGAAGAACAATTAGTCTGATATCCATGGGCGTACCAATTAAAGATTATAATGCGCAATCTCTTTCGATATTACGACGTGGCTTTTGTATTTATTCTGAAAACATCCGACACGGTCGTTAACTTGCGATTCTTTTTTTCCTTCCTTAATATCGACCACACGATCGACGACGCGTTTAAATTGTTAAAATGAAATACGCCACGGAAACGAGGAGGGTGTCGTAAAACGTCAATAATACATTATCCACGATGAAAATATAAACGTTTCACGCTCAAAGTTATAAATCAGCAACAAGCACGGTTTGTGGACATTCCCTCAACACTCCTCCACCCCTCTTATCGGTTGACGGCATTGCGCTGTATTGCGCTGCGATGCAATACCATGCAATCCGATCCGATGCGCTGCGCCACATCCTTTTCATGGCCCGCGCAGAGTGTTCTCTCTCTCTCTCTCTCTCTCTCTCTCTCTCTTCCTCTCTCTCTGTTTAGACTAACGATCTAGTTGTACTATTATATAATTGAATGACCAGTCGTCGGATTTCACGCGAAGCCTCTTCGAGTGCAAACAAGCTGCCCATCAATTGCCACATAAATTCGTCCCGCGATGACGGCATTACGAGTAATAGTCAATTAACGAGGTCGTTACACGTGCCGTTTAAATAATTACTTTCTCCCGAGGCTCGAAGTTAAAGGGTCATTAGAGTGACATCGTCTAAATCATTTGTTACCAACTAACTTATCAAGCTTCTCTGTCTGTCTCTTTCTCTCTCTCTCTCTCTCTCTCTTTCTCTCTCTCTCTCTCTCTCTCTCTTTCTCTCTCTCTCTCTTTCTCTCTCTCTCTCTTTCTCTCGCTTTGTGACATTTTTGATAACAAAATGAACATTCACCGATATTGATATGCGATTCTGAAAGAAAAAATAAAAACAAAAAGAAATAAAAGAAATAGCAATAACAGCAGAGGAAAAGTTTAATCGTTCGAGATCTCAAAACGAATGCAATATTATCACAATGCATTTATATATATTACTTCAGTACGTAAATATTTATTTTTAGCTTTTAC